AAAGCTGGTTATCCAAAAGCATTCCAGTTAGCAAATTAAAATTTTTGCTAGTGCTGTGGCGCTGCAATCTTTGGCTATACTGTATCTTGGGCTACTCCAATATATTTTTTTTTTTTTTGTTGATGTGTGTGTTTTTAGCTGGCAGCACTGACACTTTTGTGTGGTGTTTTTCTGAGGACTGTGTGTCATGCTGAATCGAACGTTTTTGATACTAGATAAACTTCTAAAGTATAATTTTTTTGTTTTTATATTTTTCAATATATTTATTTCGTTTGTAAAAAATAAAGAAATAATTTTTAACGATACAATAGACACGATTATTATTTTAAAAAGTTTACGTTAGGCTTAACATCGACGAAAATTCAGCGCGAAGCGACACGCAACGGAGAAAAATTTCAACACGGGATAGGTTAATATATTTTTTCGTACACAATCGGTTATCCGAAAAATAAGTTATCCGAACAACCCCAGTCCCCCAGTTGATTCGGATAAACGACGCTCTACTGGACAGTATTTAATTCGTCACCAGCCGCTATTACAGTGGCAAGCGTAAAATTCTGTAAAGTAAAAATAAAGGCGGTGTGACGTCATTAAGCACAGTACGTCTACTAAAAGTAGTCCAAGTAAGCGAGTTAGAATTCTTAGAGTGGATGGAGTCAGAATTGCTAAGAATATCATTAGGTATGGTGGTATAGCCCGACAAAGTCAGAATTCGGCCTTACCAAACACGGCTCGGTATCGTCCCGCCCGGTAGGCGCTTTTTTCTTTTGACGGCCTGACAAAAAATCCCGAGGAATTTTTCGGGGGTGGTCCTTGCGAATATATCGCGTCCCGTTCCTTACCACCGGCCGCCCTATTTTTGGCCGACCAAATCCATAATGGGCTGGCTAAAAGAGGTCTTCTTAGTGCCCACAGGGCGAAAAGAGTTTAAAAAAGAGCACTTTTTCTTTTTTCACTGCCATAGAGTTACGGCCACGCGTAAATATTTTATAGTTTATCACCGAGTGTAGTTATTTACTCGGATACTGGAAGAAGCGGACGATTTTCTCTCGTCTACATCCACGAGATGAAAAATTTAATTTAACGGATTAAACGGTAAATCGGTGGCGTGGCAACACTGACGACGCCATCGTCTGCTAACGACACCTACGCTAGTCTCCGGTGGATAGTCGAACGGCACGGTTTGTTATTATTGTGTGGATCTGGGTAAGTTCGGTTACGGTGCCGAGTAATATAATTTTATTAAATGCATCACATTACTGTGAACCGACGTAATGCATTTCGTTAACGTCGACGAATGCTAACCAAGTAGAAAATCGTACGATGCCAATGGAAATTGCCTCTGCCCACCGCATATTTGTAAATACGGTCGGGTCGAATCTCCACCGCCGTCGATCTCCGTTTAGCACGCGGGGCAAGTGTAGCCGTGGATCGAAAAGTATCCTCTTCCCGAGATTTTTAAGTTTCGGACTTGATTTTCTTCACCCGCTTTCCGGTTTTTGGTGGAAAATATCAGAAATTTTGACAGGAGGTTTGTGTATTAGGGGACGGATGCTATTAAATTTCGGAGGTTAAAGGGCCAGGGGTTGGGATACCCGATTCTTAATAATTTTAGTTACCGATCGACCGAAATAAACGTGATTAGACCGGTAGCTTTTCCTAATCGGGAGCGGGATTACGGAATTTTCTAATTGGAATGTGGCTGGTATCCCACGAGACTGCAAGATTCTATTCGTTATTAGCATTTACAATGTTTTACTGGGCTCGTCTGTCCCGAAAATTAAGCTTTTTGCCGTTTTATAATAATAATTATTAATGAAAACTTTCTAAATAAAATCTTCGGACGGAGCCACGCACGGGAAAGTTAAGCAACTTTTTTGTAATATTCTTTCTGCCCTGTGGGCACTAAGAGGGCTTCTTTTTTTGCAAGCCCATTATGGGTTCAGTCAGGCCCACAATGGGGCTGCCGGGTGGTGAGGGACGGGGCCCGACATATCTGAACGGGTCGAAAAATTCCTGGTTTGGTTTCGAACGTGGGTCCCCCAGAGCGGTAGGCTGCCACCTTGACCACTCGGCCATCCGGCTGCTAAAAAGTTAAGCGACTGGTTGCCGGTAAGGTATGCTGTACTTTCCATTCTCTCCCTCCACGAAAGTGTGGTAAATTAATTAATTAACTAGGATCGGACGAGCCGGATTTGCCGTCTTTTTTGGCATTTTGCTGCCTGAACCTGTTTATTAACGTAATAAAATTCTCTTAGAAAGTGTCTTACGGTTAGTGTGGCAAATCACAATTATTATTAAAATAATTAAATGAAACCTTCTCCTTAAGAAGTTATATTTTAAAATTAATTATTCACTTGGATCGTTTTGGACGGATGGATTCCGGCCGACTTTGGGCTTTGATGTTCGACGTGTGCCGTAGAATTAACGTGTTTGGTGCTGGAAGGCACCAATTTGAAAGTGGGTATTAGTGAACTGATTAAAAAACACAATAACAAATTGCAAAAGTGATATATAATACCATTTAAATTAAAATTATATATCATTTTTCATTATAATAATTTTGATTGCATAACAAAACAGTTTCTGATTTTTCTATAGTTTATTAATATTTCGTCAAGTTTGGGAAATTTATTAAGGGATAAATTTAATAAATATATACTTATGTATGTGGATTATATGGGATTTGTTAACGAATAATAAATAAATATCTGCTTGTTTTATCAAAGCCGTGTAGCTTTATGGATGTGGATTAATAACTGGATAAACTACTTTAATTTAATAAAACATTTTAAGTTTAATAATTTGGGGTGATAAAAAATATATAAATGTTAATTAGAAAAAATAATTAATTAAAGAGTTGGAAATGCCATATGAGCATAGTAAGTTGAATGCCATTTTCATTTGTCCTTGTGTCGTACTGTAAGAGATGTCTGGGTCAGGGAATTTGTAAAAAGTCAGTCGGGGGAAAGTGGTGGAATTTAAAATTTGAGTGGGAACCCCATAATTGCAAAAGTACTTATTGTATTAAATAATTTTGCCTGCAATATTTTTAACACTACTGTAAAATACAAATGCCTGGTCTCTTACTTCCAAATCGACTTTTTCTAACCTTCGTCAAACTATGTCTAAACAGAAGCGACTTTAAAATGTCGGATGTCCTACTTAATTTGATGTTTGCGATAATATCTTCGTTACTCGGATAAATTGTGTGACCGTGCGGTGGAGAGATAAAAATTTGGTAGGAAAACATATCGATAAACTTTTATGTCCATCCTTCTATTTAAGTCGTCATCAACTCTTTAGAATAATAAACCAAAGAATCCGGTTGTCCGGCAGGACTTACAAAAATGAAAATGTGGTTAAATGTGTTGCGGGTCGTAAGTTGGCCAGCTTTGGTAACAGACGGATTACTGAGAAGTGTAGATTAGTAGACTCATGCGAGCTGGTCTTGGCAAATCGTGGCTTCGATATTGAAAATCTGTTAATAACAAAAGATGTAAATTTAAACGTATGGCATGTTTAAATTTACGTCTTGTAAATTTAAATTTGTAAAAAAAAAATTCAAATTGATAATGTTAATTAATCTTGTAAAGTATCTAGTAACTGAATTCATATTAAGAGGATGATAGCCAGAGCAGTAACTAGGCAGGTGCAACAGGTGCACCCGCACAGGGCCCACTTGAAAGGGGGGGCCCAAACTGCTGTTCACAAAAAATTATATTTTAAAATTTTTCCGCCTTTCTACAGAGCAGTTTGGCGATTACATTTCGCCTTACTTAGATCCTAGATGTCTGCTCACCAGTGTTCCCAACTGTGGCGACTTTTAGAGGGACGTAGTGAGGTAGCGGAGACCTCAGACAAATCAGCCAAAAGTAGCGACTTTTGAAATTTTTTAATTTATTTTTTGAGAAGTTTAAATTTATGTTTATAGTTTTCAAATTTACAGATTTTTCTCTACTTTATAGAGCTCTCTGGCAACTACTACTATTATTACGATATACAAAACTGTATTTCTAGATTTTTCTACAGTGTGCAGAGCTAGAAATCTGTAAAGGTAACATTCTGTAACAAAAATAAATCTGCCCGAGGATTTTTTTAAAATTACTAAATTGAAAACGGTAACTCTCGAATAAAATCTTAGTCTCGAGGTTGTAAAAGGCGTGCAGAAATTCTGACATCATTTTTTGCTTTGTAGTGGTACGCATATGTGGTGTATACCTGAACGGCGGATTAAGCGGTAAGCGAACTATGCGGGCGCGTAGGGCCCC